CTGGCCTTGAACTCGCAACGGTCCTCCTGCCTCAGCCTCCAGAGTGCTGGGATTACAGGCGTGCGCTACCACGTCCGGCCTTATTTTGGTTTTAATTTGAATTTTTCCTCATTACTAGGGAGGTTGAGTAGCTTTTTAACTATTTACGGATCATTTGAGTTTTTTCTTCTGTGAAATGCCTGTCCAAAGCTTAGAAAGGAATCTTCTCACAAGGCCACTTTGGGAAAATTAATTAATTACAGCAGCTTTCTAAAGAGGCTGAAATATAAGACCTTAACCAAAAGGACAGAGAGGAAGAGGGCCAGGGGGGTCTAGGGTAAAGGCAGGGGGTTCTCCTGTTTATCTCAGTGATGTTCCTTAAAGCCAGCGTGGAATAATGGTCTCATGACACCTGGTATTTTGGGAGGACCCACACTTTGCAGTTATGATTCATGCCACAAACCTGGGTCAGGCAACAGCACTCTCCTATTACTAGTGTGAAAAAAGAGGCCTCAAAGGGGCTCGCTGCCCAGGGACTTGCCCAAAGCCCCATGGCATTGTGACTGTGGCTGGGTATAGGTAAGACCCCAGAACCCAGGGCCAGGCCTAGAGGCCACCAGGGGAACATCACTCCTGGGCCAAGGGGGGTCCTGCCAGGCACTTGGATGGCCCAAGGGAGGACTTAGGGAGCCAAGGCCTGAGTGCAGGAAGCCCACAGTCTTAAGGCAAGGGATGCAGCAGCCGAAAGCACAGAGTCCCAAGGCCTCCAGGCTGTGTGTCTCCGTGCAGGGAGGTTCCTCAAAGTTGGAAGACCACACGGTTGGCTTGGGGAGAGGTGCGTCGTCCAGCTGCCAGGAGAACAGCACGTGACGCACGTCCTGCAGGAGCAAAGAGGCCCTCTGCAAAGTCACTCAACACTAGAGGTGGACTCTTAGCCGTGAACCATCCTCAGCTGGGGAGCTTTTGGTGCAAGACTTCCGTGATCCCAGGCTCCCCCTCATACCTGTGGCTTGCATCCTCCTCATGGAACCAGTGGGCTGGCCCAGCAGGAAGGCAAAGCAGGTGGAAACACTTCCCTGGAGATGAAGACTCAGAACTGGAAGCCAACACTTGTGCCTCATTCCGTCGGCCAAAGCGAGTCACAGAACCAAACCTAAGATCGAGGCAGGAAAGTATGCCCCGCCCATGAAGGGAAGGTCACTACAAAATCACGTGCCCCTGGGCCTGAATAAAGGAGAGAAAGGTGAAGAACTGGGGCCAGTGACACCATCTATCACAGGGAGGTATCGTTCTTCCCTTTCTCAGAAAGAAAGCTGATGTCCAGGGAGGTTAAGCAACTGGATTTAGATCACACAGCCAGGTCATTGCCGATTCGGGATGGAAGCCCTACAGCCGTCGAACTCCCACGTCAAGGCTCCTGTCCCACACCACGCCGTGCCACATCAAACCTGACTCCACCGTGGCTGGCAGCACCGGGCAGCCATTTCCCAGCGAATGACTTTTAAATGAAGTGTGGAGTGCACAGTTTCTCACGCCTAAGCTCTCGTTTACATTCGTCTCTTGTCTGAGCCACCATCTGTCCCTCCACTCTGCAGCGTTGTTTCGGCAGTGGGGCGAGGCCTCGCCAGCCAGGTTCCCTGCACCCTCGTGCCACTTAGCAACATCCAGCAGATGCGAGTTTCCTGACACGGGCTCCCACGATTAGCAGATGCTCATTAATTATCGTAATTTCCATCACGTTTATTGCCTCCCTGAGATTATCGTAATTCTGTAGCCCTTTGGGACATGGATGATGCTTATGTGGTCACTCCCTTCCCTAGTGACTGGGAGGAGGAGTGGGCCTGTCGGGGACACTCATGGTGGAAGGCTTGACCTCTGAAGTCAGCCTTGGGCCCCTAGGGAAGCTTCCAGACTGAGGAGGGGCTGGTCAGCACTGGTAGGATGGCTCATGGGAGCAGAGAAGGAGAGAAATCCAGAGGGTTCTGGAATTAGTCTGCCTGGATTTGAATTCACTGTCTGATCCAGGACCCTTGGCAAGTTGTATCAGCACCGTGCCTCAATGTCCTCATCCGTGTAGTGGGGATTATACTTTGTGGGGCTGCTGTGAAGCTAAATGAGTTAATGAGTGCTTTGAATAGTGCCCGATGCACAGTGATTAAACTATAATTAATTATATTGGGCTCCTAAGGGTCAGCTACCACCCCCACAAGTTATCACCTACTTCCCTCCAAGTGTCAGCACTCATCATAGCAACCTGCCTTCAGGAGTACCGTATTTACTGGAACCAGAGTCTTCTCAAATACTGGGATTATCTCATTTAATTCTCATCACAGCACTAAGAGGTCCCCATTGTGCAGAGGGAGAAACTGAGGCTCAGGGAGATAGAGTCCAAGGTCACATCTCAAAGCAGTAGAGCCAGGACTCAGATCAGTCTTCAGACTCAAATCAGACTCAAACCAGGTCCCTTTGATCCTAGCCCTGCTTCTTGTTACCCCTAAACTATCCCTGTACTTGGTTTGAGAGAAATGGAGACAGAATAGTAGATTTTGCCTCCATTACGTTGATCTTTTTCTCAGCTGCCTTGTTGGGGGTGTTGGCCCTCTTGGCCATTAACAGGTTCTGGGAGGTGGGGTGACTTGCTCCGGGTCACACACCTGGGTAGGGGTAGAGCCAGGATTGGCATCCTTGTCTGAACTGGGCTCTGACTGCAGACTCCTGGGCTCTCTGTCCAGAGATACGCAACAATTGCCTTGATGTCGTTTGTGGGCTTTGCCCCTGTTTTACAGCTGATCAGGTGAGGCCTGACCGGAGAGCCGGCTATTGGCAGAGCAGTGATTCAAGTCTTCGCCTCTCCGTTTGATCCTTTTTCCTACACCTGTGCCTAGGGAAATTACTGTGTGGAAAAGGGAAAAGAGAAAAGCAAGGAGCCCTAGTGGGGTGGGAACCCCAAAGTCTACTTTGAGCCTACTCAGGTGTTACCAGCCAGCTTGGTCCCAGGGGCTCCCCGGCTTGCTGTGGGGTCGGCAGATACACTGAGTATCCACCAGGTGGGGCTTTCTCCAAAGGCCGGGCTCTGGGAAGCCCCTGGTGAGGTAGCCTTGCCCCACTGGGAAGGTTCAACCAGGCCTGCACATCCCTGGTGCATCCATCCACGTAGGATGCTTGCTGCTGTGCACACATGCGCTGTGCAGATGTGTGTGAGCAAACAAGCGCATTGCAGAGAACCTGTTTCGGGCTTGTGTGCAAATATGCATGAAGAGGTGTGCTCAGGCACACGGGAATGTGTGCATATCTGTGCATGCGTGTGCAAACCTATACCCGGGTGAGTGTGTGCCGAGGGGTGTGGGCACACAATGTCTATGGTGGAGGTGTGAGCACGTGTAGACGAGCCTGTGCATATGTCTGTGTCTCTGTGCAGATGTGTGTATATGTGTGCATGTGTGCAGATTCATACCTATGTGTGCAAAAAAGGGTATGGGAGACACACGTAGCAGAGTAGCCTGGCCTTGGTCCTGAGGCTCATTTTTTTCTTTTTTTTTTTTTTTGGTACCAGGAATTGAACTCAGGACCTTACTCTTGCCAGGCAGGTGCTTGTGCCGCTGAGCTACATCCCTGCGCCCCAGCTCATTTTAGAGGACCTTTCCTAGACTCTTTGGAGATGGGGATGGAACAAATGCCCCTTGGGGTTTCTGGTGCCTGGGACATTTACCAGCGACCCCAATGGGCATTGTGAATGTGGAGCAATAGGGGTCATGGCTGGAGTGTTCTACCTCCCACCCCTCCGGGCTTGATTTTTCCTCACAGCGCCCTCCCAGCCCAAAGGGTGCACATTTTCCCACCCAGCTTCCATATCACTTGCTGAGTGAACCCGGGTGTGCTTCTGCCTCTCTGAGCCTCAGTTTGCCTATCTGTAAATTGGATATGACTAGGCTTGATGTGAGATTTGAGGCAAATGCTGGTGAAGTCCCTCGTGCATAGTAGGTACCATTCTGTCACCAACAATGGCAGTGGTGATGCTTGGACAGGGACAGAGAGACTCATGTAAGAGTCACATCTCCATCTTGCCAAAAAAGTAAAAGAATCCTTTCTTTTTTTCTTTGGCTCCTGGCTCATTTTGCTGTCTGGATTAGATGTGTGAACCTCGGATTTGAAGAAGAAGAAGGAAAAAGGAAGAGAAGAGGGAGAAGCAGCTGGCGAAGATGAAGAGAAACCTAGTGAGAGCGGTACGCAAGGGAGGACATGAGCTGAGTGGTCATAGGGAGGGAAATTAAAAATAGAGATAGGAGAGGTCGCTTTAATGCGGGCAACTGGGGAAAGGGAGAAGCCAAAAGGCGCTAAAGCCCTTGTGCTTGCCCCTGAAAAAACTTTTGAGAACAGGAAGGACTCTCCACCGGGCCTTGGATCCAGGATGGGGTCTCACTGTGACCGCTGGAGGCCTTGCTTCTCAGAGCACAGAGAAGGCCCACAGCTGCCCTGGGAGTGTGTAGGGGCTGATGGAGGGGTGGTGGCTGCTCAGGCCAGTTATGCTGGGATTCGGTGTCTTGAAGTTTTTGGTACTGGGAATCGAACTCAGGACCTTGTGCTTGCCAGGCAAGCACTTGTGCCACTGAGCTATATCCCTGGCCCAGGGTCTTGAACTTATGGTGGCTGTTTCTGCGGACTTCCGTTACCCTGTGATTTGAACACTCAGCTGTTAAAATAGGAATGTGGAGCAGGGAGGTGGATTGCTGCCCTGCTGAGGGCTTCTGCATGCCTAGGAGACCCCGCTAGTACAGAGCAGGCTCCCAGGAACTCTCGCTAGCTAACGTTTCTAGGTCTGCTGGAATCTACCACTCGCCAAGTGGCATTTTGTTTTAGGAATGTTCCAAGGAAATGTGATTCTGGTTATGGGTACAGATCCAGTTCTGGAAGGAATCCTAGGCTATTACAGGACCAGGACCATAAGAATGTTTAAAAAGACAGAAAGAGGTGGTATAGTGGAATAAGCTCAATAAGGATGTATTTTTCAGTGCAAATGTTCTGTGCTGTTGGGAAAAAAGCTATAGGTTGAGTTTCTTTACCTCCATTGTGTGTAGACATCTCCACCTGGGTCTGATCTTGTGTGTGGTGTGAGGTAGGGAGCTGATAGTGTTTTGCCCCAGGTGGCCAACCAGTTGGTTCAGTATCATATTAAAAACAAAGTCTATTATTTTCCCTCTAGTTTATAATATCAGCCTTGCCATCTACCTGCGCAAGTCTGTTCTACACGTCTATGAATCTGTTTCTCAGTTTATTATTTTGTCCCTGGAGTCTGTTTGTCCTTATGCCTCACTCTGTTACAGCTTTTAAGAATTACAACTTTATAAGAATTCTTGATATCTTGTAGGGAAAGTTCTGCCTGGTTATTCTTCAAACTTCCCTAGGCTGCTCTTGACCCTTGTATCTCCATAAGCATTTTAAGATGGGCTGTCCAGTTCCACAAAAAATCTCATAGAGATTTTGATCGGAATGGCCTTAAATTTATGGTCTACTTTGAGAAGAAGTGACTTCTTCACCCTGTCAACTCTTCCAGCCCTTGAACATGGCATCTCTATATTTAGTCAAATCTTCTTTTATAGACATATCTGATGGCTGTGGACTCTGAGGAATGTGCCCTGGTCAGAGTCCCGCAAGAAAGCAGCCCCTTCTACCCTACCAAATGAAGATTCCTGATAATGAAAGGATTTGTGCTTATAAAATCAGTTAAGGGCTTGGGGAATAGCTCAGTGGTAGAGCGCTTGCCTAGCATGCACAAGGCCATGGGTTCAGTCCCCAGCATCCCAGAGAAGCAAAGACAAAAATGAAGATGACGATGTGGGACTTATAAGAAGTCCCTAAGTCCATTTTGCAGAACTAATGTTAGCCATTTGGTATCTGATTTTCTCTGGTTTTTCCCCAAGAACTACATGTTAAGCAAAGATGGGAATATTCTATTATACTGCTCTATAATCTGCTTATTTCTACTTTACCACACTCCCGCACACATATAAACACGTGCTTCATCACATATAAGTAAATGCCCTCATGTTTCTTAATGAGGAAATGTATTCTGGGGGCGGTATGCTGGTAGTAGCCAGGGTTCCAGCAGGCCTCACTCAACTAGAATTATTTTTAATGAGGAGACTACAGTAGTTCCCCTCAATCTTGATGTCACTTTCCATGGTTTCAGTTATTTGTGGTCAGTTGAGGTCTGCAGATATTAAACAGAAAATTCCAGAGGTACCACATTCATATAGCTTTTATTACAGTATATTATTATAATTGTTCTACTACCTTATGATTAGTTATTGTTAATCTCTTCATGTACATAATTAATAAATTAAGCATTATCATAGATGTGCATGGATATATACAGAAAAACAGTCTATTTAGTGTTTGCTACTCTCCGAGGTTATAGACATCCAACCCGGGGTTCAGGACATCGCGTCCTTCTTGGATGAGGGAGACTACAGCAGAGGTGCGGGCAGGGTTTGTTGAGCACTGGGGGAAGTCACACAGTGGGCCTGAGGCAGAGGGGGAGGGAGCCATTCCTGGCACCCAGCAAAGGCAAGGGGCCCGCAGGTGACAGGGCTGTGGCTGCGGAAGGACCCAGTCATGCTCTAAACTGCAGTGAGGTGGGGCGGGGCTGGAGAACAAATACTCCAACCTTTCTCTCTCACCTTCCTCCCTCCTGTCAGGGGCTGCCATTGTCCAAGCCCACGGGAGAGCCAGCGAGCAGGGACACTGGGACGTGTAGGCCACTGAGGCCAGTGGGTGGGGAGGGCCTGGGAGAGGACAGCCAAAGGAGAATGACCAGCACAGTAAGTGCACGGTTGTTTACTCAGCTAGTTCCTGACACTGGAGGAGAATCGGGCCCAGAGATCCTGCCCCTTTTCTGTTTTTCCTCTACAGTTTGATGTGCTTTGGTGTGTTTTGTTTCATATTATTTTGTTTTGAGACAGGGTTTCACGGTGTATTTCAGGCTGGCCTTGAACTCCCTACATAACCCAGGCTGGCCTCAAACTCATGGCACTCTCCTGCCTCAGCCTTCAGACTGCTTGAATTACAGGGGGCACCTCACCTGCTTCTTCTGCAGTTTGATTGGTTAGTGAGCTGTCTGGAGACTCTGGCTGTCTCAGACCCTGCATTTCACCCCTATTCTTCTCCATGAGGGGCAGAGGAGCCTCAAGTGTGAAGAGCCCCCAGGTTGCTGTGATCAAACCCAGGCCTGAGTCCTGGTTCTGGCTCTGCAACTATATGACCTCGAGCCAGCCACTTTTCTCAGGACTTCAGTCTTTCCATCTGCAGTGCAGGGATCCTCATCCCTGAGGTGCGAGGCTGGCAATGATGAGAACTAGCAGGTATCGCACTTTTAGACCATGGTTCACATAGATCAACGCACTGAATCGTCATTGTACAATTACTAGCACTACCATGCCTAGTAAGAAAGTGAGGTGCAGAGAAGGAAAATAACTTCCCCAATGTCAAAAGTTTATAGATAACAGAGTGGGAACGCGTACCCAAACAATCTGACTCCTAACCCACCTCTCCTAACCACTGCGCCATGGTAATGATTTATTTATAAAGCACCCATCAACAAGTGGGTGCTTGATGATGGCAGTGGTTGTCAGCACTGTGTATCTTGTAGCCAGTCACGCAGCTGCTGATTCGTGGACCCGGCCGTGGGCCAGCCTCTCTGTGTGCACCCCGCAGCTGTCTGCCAGACCGTCCCTACTCTCTCCGAGGGCGCAGGTGCCCTCAGATGTGTTTGAAGTCTCCAGTTGTTTTTCTCCCTGCACGGTAGCTGCAGTGGGCAATGCAGAGCTACCGAAGGACATTTTCTTTTGTTTCAGCTTTGATGCTGGGGATTTCGCATATCATTATGTTTGTGGCTAAGGACCTGCCATTATCTTCCCTGGGATTCTTGCACAGTTTATGAATTTCCTGAAGGATCCCGCTTCTCTTGGCTGCTTCTGCTTTCAGGAAAGGCTGCCCCAAGCTGCTCCGTGCAGGAGTCTTCCTGTACATTGTAATTTAATATTTATTTTAATGTGTGGGTCTTTAGGAATCAATCTTGGACCTGTTTAAGTTTTTGTATATCTGTGAGTGTGTGCTTTTGCTGCAGAGAGGGTGCTAAAAACATGAAAGCGGCTTTTCACAAAAATATTTAAAATTTTATTGCTGTAGTTATAGAATTCAAGGCCATTGTCTTCTGGAAAAAGTCAGAATTTCCTGGCTTACCGTCTTTCATTAAGGACCACCCATAATAATTTCATTTCTCCAGCTAACTGTATTTAGGGGATAAATACTTAACTGCTTCATTCATTACTGTGAGTCTGAGAGGGTAACAGATGCCTTTGGAATATAAGCCCCCACATCTAATAAGGCACAGGCTCACCATGTACTCCGAGGATGGCGGGGAGAGTCGGCTGAAATTTATTTTGTGAATAAAGCAATAAGCCACTAAGCAAAGCTAATATGTTTCAGCCCAGACAGAAAGACACGATCATTCAGTATTTATGTAGCAACCCATTCCTCTGCGGGGCTGCAAGTTTCCACCATTAAAATTGTCGGAATTCTTTAGAGACCTGCTGCATTAAGTCATTTAAAAATATCACAGACTTAAAGCCATCTGAATTATTGGATTTGCTCGCTGCTCCTCGGTAAGCATGCTTGCTGTGGCAGTTTCCTGCTTGGTCAAAGGTGCAGCCTTCTCCAGTCAGGAAAGTTGGAAAGTTCCACGCAGAATTTTTATTTGGAAGCCCAGCAGTCCCTAACAGCTGAAACCAAAGCACAGCTAGATTTATATTTTTCTTTTAACTTTTAATTTTGACATAATTTCAGATTCCCAGAAATGTTGCAAGCACAGTGTGAAGAATCCTCATGTTAACACTTGGCAACATTTCTTTATCATTGTCTCAACGTAGATAGTATGTATTATTTTTAGCTGTACTGTTTGAGAGCCTTAAATGTGATGCCTGTCCTTTTATCCCTAAATATTTTAGCATTTTTTCTAAAAACAGGCTATTTTGTTACCTAGCCACAGCAGAATGGTCAGAATTGGGATAACAGTATTATAGACAGCTAAGTTAGGTAGAAATGGCATAGGCAGTTGGACAGGGCTGAGCCCTCAAAGGAGTCAGAGCATTAGATAAGAACACACCACAACTGTGGCTGGAGGCACATTCGCTGAAGGCCGGGCCCCAAGATAAAGACAGAATGACTA